AAAATGAAATCTCGAGCGCCGAAATTACAATTTAAGCATGCCTTACTAAGCTGTCAAATTGTAGAGATTAAAAACTGTGTAGTGCGAGCAGTGCTACGGTATGTGCGAGGTATTGTATACCGTAGCAATATTACGGTCGTATGGGTTGCAGTGTTGGTGCCAGCTCTTCCCCGACTGGGGGATGGTACTTTTGACAGGATAACAAATCCCAACACATTAACACAAAATGTTATTTTTGAATAAACAAAAATTATACTACAAATTTTATCGGGCAGCTTAGACCCCTCGTCGGGAATTCCTGGCGCCGCCCTAATCAAATTACAGTATATTTTATTTATACATAGGCCTATATAATATAAACATGATATGGTAAATGGAAAGGCAGCAAACAAGGAAACAATCATATGCAAAACAAATGACATGCTAATTTCATAAATCTCCATTTTATTCTGAGCATTATGGTCAACGGAAAACGCAACAAACTAATGACAATACGTGTCTCAAACCCGGATCGACTTGCATTTGCGTTGTATCTGTAAAAAGAGAAAAATAACACCAACTAAACTGTAATCAAATAAAAATAATTGGTTATAAAATTCCAGGAATACCGGCCATCGAGTGGGGATTCGCATTCACAAAATTGAACATTCAAACAATTTTGTAGGCTTAGCCGTTAGGCCTATATATATCGTTTGGGGATAAATAGGCCCTAGGCTCACATTAATTTTTCATTTTTAGGCCTAATTTTTGTGTTTTACAAAATTGAATTCATTTTTTATATATATTGCCACCCACCCCAGGGAGATGTTATAAAAGTATGAATGTAGGCCTACAATATTTACGCTATTCCTAGCTGCGTACATGATGTAGTTCACTCATAGCTACCCCGCTGCATAGGCTGGCATCTACCAAGCATGTGTGGCCTTTCTCTGGGCCTAGAGATAGGCCTAGGCTAGATTTAGCGTCGCGGTTCGCTCAGTTCAAGACTTGTTTATTTTCCCCCGCGACGAGGGACGCTATCGCGCATGCGCTAGCGATCGTCGTAATAATTGCAAGCATTGGGAACTATGTTCACGACTCGTCGTAAAATAGTCACTGCGAAAGAAGAACCCCCCTCTTTAATTTTAGCTCCGGGCTTGAAGCCTTACATACATCGTCCTTGATTCAACACAAACACCTCTCTCTTGCCCAACTAGGCTAGGCCTACTTTATATTTCTTTACTTTCACTTACAAACCCACAAAAATATGTTTTTAAGATCTCCCTGTTTCTACAGAATAACGAAAACAGCGACATTTAGTATTTTTGTGCAGATTTTAAAATTAACTAAAATTGACCTTGTTTGCTTTCCATAGAAAGGGTATTAAGAATGACGTTTTCTAACACCATACAGCCTCACACAGGCTATCTTCACAATGAAAGTTGTACTGTCCCTTCTAACACAAAAAAAAAATAAGGTTTACAAAATTAAACTTTGAATTGGCCATTTTGTTGCTTTAGGAAAGTTATTCGCTTTTGATCCAAAAATCGAACGAAAATCAATCAGTTTCGTTAATTAACAGATAAATTATTTCGAAAAATTCTCATGACTGTTGTATCGCGACGGTTGGAAGAAAGCTAATTTAAATTCAGTTTCTTCACTAATTATGCATATCTATGAGATATCTGGGGTTGTTATGGCGATATCTGATAAGAGAATAGGTTTGTTGACAAGATGTTTACGCTCTTCCTCATCACGACAGAGAACCAATGGATTATTCGGTACTTTTACTACGGTAGACTCACGTTTTATTAGCCACATTTTATACAATTAGTAGGAATATAGGCATATTGGTTGTCCTAAAAATAAATTGCCTCGTATCTAGGCCTACTGCCAGACGTCTAGTCTTAGGCTAAGACCTAGGCATATGCATAAACGGGAAAGGCGGCTCCGGGCTAGGCTTCGGTCTGGCTTGGTCATACATTAAATTATGAGGCCCAGGCTTCTACGCATCATCTATTTTTGTTTAATTTGAGACGACATCTTTTGAGAGAATATTTTGTATTCTATTCGCGGAAAGTTAGTCTATGCCCTACCTGTGTTAATAAATAATTATGCCTAAGCCAAGGCTAGGCCCTAGTGTACACTACATATGATTAGGCTTAGCCCTAAATCGATTAAATTTTAATAGCTCAGTGTCTGGAGATAAAGATAATACTACTCAGTTATACACAAATACTGTACATTATTATGATGGTTGATGTATTTGCAATATGTATTCAAGTTGTTTGATGTCATTTTCCCTTGTGATTTTTAGGATGCCTGACTAGGTCTATATTAAAGAAAATCTGGTATGGGTTCTAATGCACTATAAGCTGGTATTCAACTTCATGGTATTATGTCAACCCAACACACAACAGTCTGTTGTAGCTATGGTGAAAATTGCATTTTACAACTTCAGGTAGGTCTGACTATCAAATCATTGAAAATTATCATAAACAAGACCTTAATAACAAAATTATTTTAATATATATTTATTTAGGCGTGATGTCCAAAATTTTCAAAACGACAGAACTGCGGCAGACGCGTCTGGGTGTCAGACGGCGTTTAACGATCACGATCATGCTCATTAACTTAGTAGGCGTGACCCACATGCGGAGGTTAACCACGCGGAAAAACGCGACAAATGCGTCTAACGTTTACATTGCATTTCTAATATAATTCACGTACGTGTTGACGTTTGTGCGGTTTGCATTGTTAAGGGACGAATTGTAAAAGTATTAGGCCTACCACGCGAACCTTTTTTTTTAAATTTATAGTTTGACTATTGTGCCGGCGTCCAACCGGAGGTACTATACAAAATACACTTCTTCCAATTGCTTTAGGATATCAGCATACTTTATTCGTACTAACCGGTGAAAACTATAATAAAATGGAATAAGGTGAAAGCATAGGCATATGCCTGAGTCAATCTGTATTGTAATATTTAAGCCTATGCTCAGTGTGATTATTGTATTATCTATTATTCGTTTCTGAGCCTGTAGTTTCAATGCATAAGTACTGTCTAAATATCATATAGATTCATAACTAGAACATAATATATGCTTACCACTATGGCCAGCAAAGAACACTAAACATTAACTTCAAACTAGAACATGGGAGTGCATCCCCTTCATCATAGATCTAGTCCATGCTTTCCTCCTCTCAAAAGGGTTGCCAAGGGCCAAAGGTCATATTTCAACAATAGAGGGGGTACTATCAAAATAACTAAACAAGAGAAATAATCGAATGCCTTTACACTCCTCGCCTGAGGGTTAATCCCTCACAGCAATAGTTATCTAAATCAAATCGAGGAATGATAAACAATTAAACTTGAAATGCCTATTCAATGATTTTTATCGGCTTGTCTCAAAATAATCACAATCTCCCCAATCGGTCGTAAGTAAGTCCTCTTCGCTCCATCTCTGAACACGGAAACGTTCACTTTTCTTATTCGTCCATCAGCGCTAGGCGCAACACTTTCAATGACACCCAATGGCCAAAGATTCTTTTGGGTTTCTTTGTCCTTTAAAAGCACAACATCTCCAACACACACATCTACTTGGTTGTGCGTCCACTTTTTCCTAACCTGCAACTCTTGGAGGTATTGCTTCCTCCATCTAACCCAGAATTGGTCTGCAAGGTATTGAACGCGTCTCCATCGACGGCGGCAGTACAAGTCTTGTTTGGTGAAAACTCGTGGGGCTGTAACCAATGGGCGAGTTTTCATAGTTAGGAGCATGTTTGGAGTAAGTGGCTGTGAGTCGTTTGGATCCGAGGAAATAGCAACGATTGGTCTCGAATTTACGATAGCAGACGCTTCAGCCATCAAAGTTGTTAACAGTTCGTGCGTTAACTGGCGAGGTCCAAGTTCTAACATCATGGCATTAAAGACCTGACGAACTGTCCTGAATTGGCGTTCCCAAACGCCACCGAAGTGGGAAGAGTGTGGTGGGTTAAATTCCCACTGACATCCTTTATCTGTAAGATGTCTGCTAACTATATCCTGGTCAATTTCAGATAAGGCTTGGTCTAACTCAGATTTCGCTCCAATGAAGTTGGTGCCTCTATCGCACCTTAGTAATGCAATGGGTCCACGGATAGCAATAAATCTCCTTAAGGCACAAATAAATGCACTTGTGTCCATTGATTCCACAATTTCGATATGAATTGCCCTTGAAGCAAGGCATGTGAAGATAACTTCCCATCGTTTTTCGTTGACAGATGACCCTCTAGTTTTCCCGGTGTGAATCAGACAAAGACCAGTCCGACGTTGGTAAAAGGTGGACCAGGTTCAATCCTATCTTGAGGCAGACTTGCCATGATTTGTGTTTCTGTAGACCTCCTGAGCCTTCTACATGTAACACACTTCCCGATGATTGTTGCAACCATTTGGCGACCACCAATAATCCAGTAGCCAGCACTTCTTATGGATCCATGCGTGATCTGCCTGCCTTGGTGATGTGTTTGTTGGTGGTATTAATGTATAACAAGTTTCGAAATGTGATGGTTCTTTGGCAGAAGTATGGGGTGTTTTTCTTGTGCTTCAAGATGTGAATTGTGGAGCCTTCCTCCAACACAAAGAAGGTCATCTTCATTCAGGAATGGATTCAGTCGACAGAGTTTGTTCCCTTTAGGTAATCCACTGGTACTTTTCTTCATGTGCTTTACTTCCTCACCAAACATCAACTTGCATGCTGGCATCATATCCGTCACCGATGGAGTTATGAGCTTGTTAATTCCCACAGGAATTTCTTCACCATCCCTGCTACACCTAGGACGATTCTTGTATTTCCTGGTGATACTTATCAGGCTTGCTATTGCTCTCTGCAGTTTTTGCCAATTTGAAAACCGCTGAAATCTATGCGTTTTAATGCTATGTGTTTTACCGGTCGTGGTATGGTGTACTGAGATGAATGGTCGAACGTCTGGATCAGAATCGTCTACAGTAAATTTCTCATCAGAATCTATTGGTGACACATTTAGAGAAACTTCGGGCCTTGAAACCACAAAGAACTTGATATCTCCTTAGCTGATATCCCTCTTGAGGCGATATCCACAAGGTTAATTTCTGTAGCAATGTAGTGCCACTGTTGGGGTTTTGAAACATTATGTATCTGCTGAACACGGTTCGCCACGTAAACATAAAACCGGCGAGATTTGTTTTGAATGTATCCCAATACAACTTTTGAGTCTGTGTAATAGTAGGTTTGGTCAACCACAACATCTAGTTCGGATGTAATCTTCTGAACTGCTTGCGTGGCCATTACGGCGGCACACAATTCTAATCTTGGTATGGATGTGACAGCAGTCGGAGCCACCTTGGCTTTTCCTAAGACAAATAAAACGTGAGGTGTTCCTTGTTTGTCGATAGTACGTATGTATGTGACTTGGCCAATTACTTTTGTTCTAGCATCAGAGAATGAATGCAGTTCGATTCTCCTCGCCATGCTGAGTCCCTGTGGTAAGTAACACCTGTTCACATGGAGATTTTCTAGGTCGCTCAGCTCGTCCCTCCAGAGTTTCCATCGATCTTTGAATTGGTTTGGGAGTTGATCATCCCATCCAATGCAATTAGCGTCCATCTCACCAGATTCATTCAGGTTAGCTGTTGAAGTATTGCCTTCCAATCAATGATTAAAGGGGCTACGAACCCTAATGGGTCATATAATGAGTTTACAGTTGAAAGTATCCCTCTTCGAGTAAAGGGTTTGTCTTGCAGATCTACCTTGTAGGTGAATGTATCACTATGTATGTCCCAGTAAACTCCAAGAGATCGTTGTACAGGGATTGGGTCTTGTCCAAACAATCCAAACATTGGAGAACCTTTGCTCTGTCTTCTACGGATAGAGCTTGCACCACATCTATGTCGTTCGAAACCACCTTATGCAATCTTAGTTTGGCAGTGGCTAGCATAGCTTGTGTATTGCGTAAAAGGCTGATAGCTTCTTCAGAAGTGGCTACAGACCGTAGGCCATCGTCGACGTAAAAGTCGTTGAAAACAAAGTTCCTGCAGGTAGGTCCAAAAACTCCCTTGTTGTCTTCGGCTGTTTTTCGCAATCCAAAAGTTGCCACTGCATGACTGGGACCATTTCCGAATAGGTGAACTCCCATTCTGTACTCAATTATGTTTTTGGCTCGATCGTTGTTTTTATACCAAAAGAATCGCAAAAAGTCCCGATGTGCCAGAGTGACGTGGAACGAGTGAAATATTTGCTCGATGTCCGCCATAACCGCTATTCTTTCTTGGCGAAATCGCATTAGAATCCCCAAAAGAGAATTCATTTGATCTGGTCCCGTCAACAGTTGTTGGTTTAGTGAAATTCCTTCGCACACAGAACTTGAATCAAAGACAACTCGTATTTGATTATACGTTTCTTCGGATGGTACACTCCGAAGTGTGGTAAATACCACGTATTGGCTTGTGGTTTTCTTAGGTCATTTTCAAGCACGACTTCCGCATATCTGGACTCTAGCAGTTTCCCCATATATTGGAAGTAGTGTTCTTTCTTAGTAGATTTACTCTGTAAATGCCTAATTATGTTACGAAGGCGACCTAGAACTTGGTCGCGGTTATCGGGCATCTGTGGTATGCCATGTCGAAATGGGAGAGGCATCTCCCAATGGCCGGATTCGTCTTTACGTATGTTCTGTTCCATGATAGTAATGAATCATCGGTCTTCTATAGAAAAGCCGGGATCGTTATCGTTCCTAGCGCAAGCAAAAACGTCAAACTTGCTGCCTGAGAAACTTTCTTTTATGTTAATGGTATTGGTACACATCGAGATAGCAGGTGGGTCAGACTGGTCAACACTGGTTCGATGAATCGCGAAGTGGATACATCCACCAACTTGTAGATGCAAACTAGGCCTGATATGGTCCATCCGAGATCCAGTCTTTGAGCCCAAGGTGCTCCTGATGGGCCGTTTCTGAACTCCCTAATTTTTAACAGGTCACCAGCATCCCTGCCGAGAAGGATTTGTATGGGAACATCTTCACGGGGATGAGGAATTTGGTCGGCAATATCTACAAGGTGAGCGTAGCGTGAAGCGATTTCTGGTGTTGGGATTTCCGTCCGATCGTCGGGGATACTATTGCATTCTATTAGTGTTGGTAGTTTCATAATATTAAAATTCCTTCGACTCTATCATCAAATCTGCGTTTCGTCTTCCCTTGCAAGGTTCATTCTTCTTACTGTATGTCGATAATGAGTAATTAGTTGGTTGAATTTCGGGTCCAAATCGATCTGCTAGCTCAGATTTTACCAGTGACGCATTCGAATGGTCTAGTACAACATATACCATGGTTGAATCGTATGGGTGATGTCAGTGACAGCACGATCTTGGCGCAAGAGCGCCCACTAACATACTTTCCACATATAGCAGTACATGTGCTTGTAACATTTTGAGGCTTCTGCTTGTCCTCCTCGCCATGATTCGCTGGTGCTTGCTTGGTTTGGCTGTTTCTACATAGCAGCGAGATGTGCTTAGAGCTTCCGCATTTCTCACACTTGGTTTCTGTAGAGAAGTCTCTTGCTCTATAGGACCCCAAACAACAACGAAAGCATAGGTTCCAACGCTTGATTAAGTCGTTCCTCTCATCGTTTAAAGCAGTACCTATAATAGGTACTGCTTTAAACGATCTGCAATCTAACAGGCTGTGACGATCCATTTCATGGAATTGGCAATATTTATCGCTGGTAGGCAAAGAGATGTGTGGATTTGTGTTAGTTTTCATCACCCGTGCAGAAAGTCGTCTTTCTGGTGTACGAAGTGTTTTGGTCGGAAAATCGTTAATCTTCAACATTGGATTGTTTTTCATTTCTGAAATGGATTCGATCAGGTCGGTGAAGAAACTAAAGGGTGGAAATGTGTGTTTGTTAGCTTGGATATACCTCGAAGCTTTGCTTTCCCACGTTGTTTGTATGTACTTAGGTAGCTGACGAATGATTGGGTTAATGAATTCCTCACAGTTAAGGATGTGCAATCCAGGGAGTTCATCCATTTGTGCGGCAATATCTTTGCAGAGATCCGAAAATTCTCTTAGCTTCTCATTGTCATTGTAACCAAATTTAGATCTCTCGTTTAGAGTGTCTTTGAGCCTTTTTGTTATGACGGATGGATGTCCGAAACGTTCTTGTAGCTTTTGCCAGGCTTCTTCTAGAGCTTTATCAGGGTTGCTGGTGTGTCTCTGGCAATAATGATCTACCAATATCCTAGCTGGTCCCTTAGTAAATTCAGCAAGATATGCGAGCTCGTCAGTCGCACATATTTTAGCTTTGTTAACTATAGCTTTGAATGATCTACGCCAGGTTAAAAACATCATTGGGTCTGCTCCGTATACTTGAGGTTTACAGATTGGTAGTGATCGTCGTGCAAGGATGTCAATTGTCTTAGTCCATACAGTTTCTTGTGTGGTTGGTGGTTCTAGTGTGGTTGTTGGTGTAGGGTTATTTGTTTGCTTCTGATGTGTTTCGTTCTGGTCATGTGCATGTTTCTGGAAAAGTAAAGCGTGATCGTTCGAGGTCTGGTCAGGAGTTGTTTGTGGTTGATAAGACGAACCTTCATCTGTGAAGACTACAGAGAAGGCATTTGCTTTAGCGCTCAGGACAGCAGCTTCACTATCGGCTTTGAGAGTCCGCAACTTAGCTTCTTTTTCAGCTATCTGCTTCTCATACTTGGCTCTTGTTTCCGCAGCTTCCGCATTAGCCAGTAGCTCTGCAATCTGTCTAGAACTTGAGTTTGATTTCTTCGATCTCCGAGAAAGTGAAGTGTGCATTGTCTTGACTGAGTAGTTGGATGCTAATTCTGCCATTAGGTTGTCTAATCTTGTTTCAGTCTTAACAATAATGTCATCAACATAATTACATTGGAGAACAAACTTTCTGCATGCTATGCTGTCGTGTTCTTCCTGGAACAAGTTTCCACCTATGATGTAGGCCTCTTCCAAGTCGTACCAGGTCGAACCATAGCGCCCTCTATGCTTCTGGCTTCAATTACGGCCTTTTTAATTACTTCGATAGAATCTGGTAAGTCATTTAATTTTTCTATGACTGTTTTGGTTGTATTCCACTGAGAGGATAGCGCTTCTGTTGCTTGCAGGACACTATCCCTTGCCATTGACTCGGCCTGTTGAGTGTGATGTACTCTAGGCCTAGGCATGTCTGCTGTACCGTACGTTGTATAGTAGGCTAAGCAGGGTTGGTAACGTATGTGTAGGCTAACTAACTTCTCTAGCTGCAGTGCTAGGCAGTAGACGTCTAACTAGCCTAATCAATCGTGTGGTGCTGAGTGTTTTCACTATGCCGGCGTCCAACCGGAGGTACTACAAAATACACTTCTTCCATTTGCTTTAGGATATCGGCATACTTTATTCGTACTAACCGGTGAAAACTATAATAAAATGGAATAAGGTGAAAGCATAAGCATATGCCTGAGTCAATCTGTATTGTGATATCTAAGCCTATGCTCAGTGTGATTATTGTATTAGCTATTATTCGTTTCTGAGCCTGTAGTTTCAATGCATAAGTACTGCCTAATATCATATAGATTCATAACTAGAACATAGTATATGCTTACCACTATGGCCAGCAAAGAACACTAAACATTAACTTCAAACTAGAACATGGGAGTGCATCCCCTTCATCATAGGTCTAGTCCATGCTTTCCTCCTCTCAAAAGGGTTGCCAAGGGCCTAAGGTCATATTTCAACAATAGAGGGGGTACTATCAAAATAACTAAAGAGAAATAATCGAATGCCTTTACAACTATAGAGTTTGAATTTATAGATATAGGGACACTTAACTAGGGCCTACCTCCGTGCCCTACTCTTTTGTAAGGTCAGGCCTAGAGTAGAGAGGTCGACGTACGGACGGCCACGGGTGGTGAAAATCATCATCATCATACCCATACCCAGTATTTACGCATAGGCCTAATATTAATAACAAGGGACACTTGTACACATAGGCCTATAAATACAACGAATAGGCTACACATTTAACTTAGTATATTATTATTACTTGTATTAGAGGCCCAGCCTACTCACTTACTGTTTTTGTAGTTTCGGTGGTAGGCCTAGCCAATTGCTTTGCCGCCATAGCGTGGTCTCTTCGAGTCGGAGAGGTTTGAGCAATCCATTCAACAGCTCCGAAATTCTGATTTTGTTCTGTACTAAGACTTACAAAGGCCTAGACTACATTTTGTTTCAATATACTTATACTGTATGTTCATATATTGAATATTGATTAAATGTTGTTGCATTTATTAGGTCTATCGCTGGTCCATTATTATAAAGATTCCATTGCACTTTCTTCGGGACTTGCATGCTCATGCTATGAGGTCGTTGTGAGTCGGAGGGGGTGAACAATGCAGTTGCAGAAAACAGGCAGTGTTGAAATCCGTCTGCCATTTGATAAAAAAAAAAACTATTAACATTAGAAATCAAGTAGGCAGATGTTACATGTATTGCTGCTAGTAACAGTAAATTAAACGTTCCCACAAGCAGGTTCACATGATACTATTGGGAGAAGCCGGTGAAGTCTTTGTACGCCGCCATATCAGGAATGTTTTCGAAGACAAAAAGAATGTCAAAGGGTGTCTATAAAACGAAGACCGAAGGCTGTCATAAAATCAAAATTACGAAATTTTTTGGACGTCTGAAATTTTCAAAGATCTTCGTTTTATAGACACCCACACGGGTGTCTACAAAACGAAGACACGAAAAACGACGACCTACATTTTATTGCTGATATCTGCTGGTGTGTTTATTTGCTTTCTGTTGTGTATTATAAACAGTAATCAGGGGCGGATCAGGGTTTAAAAGAGGCTGGTTCAAAATGTTTCCAAAAAACCCAAAAATGAAAGGGGGTCGGGGGGTCTTCCCCGGGGAAAATTTTGATTCCTAGGTGGCCGGAAATAAGCTTTCCGACTTCTGAGGAGTCTTTTAATGACCTAATTTCTTCAAAATTCAAAGTAAAAAAATCAAAGACAGACAATTATATTATTCCAACAACATTGAGTAGTTTTTGATATGTAGTCTTTCGTCCATATGGACCTTCAATAGGTCGCACTATCGTACATAAAATTACGACGGCGAACCAAAAACAGTGTGTATAATTTATTAATTGAAAGCTAGTTGGGCCAAGCCTAGTTTTTCTGATCTTCCAACCTATGCCTAGGTAGCATGCTTTTTGTAAGCCAGGACCCAGTTGTAATTTGTTACGTTTCTTCACA